AAAATAAACCCCCCCCCCCCCCCCCCCCAAGCCATTTAAACCAACGGAAAACAGCTTGGACCACTAAAGCTTGCCAGGTTTTTTGCAAAGGAGGAACTGAACTGACTTGCTCTCCTTTGCTGAACTTAATCGGTGCTCAGACAGTGAGAAAGCAAGAGTTTTGGCAAAGGCCATCTTTGCAGCTGAGAGAAGCTTCCTTCCAAAGACCCAAATGATGGGATTGTATCACATTTTAAAATCCAGCCGCCTCCTCTGGGTTACAAAGAGCTCATCAGCCACTTACGATGACAACATTTTTTTTTTAAATGCCATTTATTTCCACCTTGTCTTTGCTTCTCTCATTTCGTGCTGTTTGAATGGCTGCAGGATGCTGTTGGCTACCTCCTGGGTGTGTTTGTGTGGGACGCTAAGAGGAAACGCAGAGCCATGATTCGGTCTATGCAGGGTTTTGTACCTGCTGCTGCGTTGCTGGGGTTCGTGCCTGGCTGGCCCCGTTGAGAATGGAATTGGTCAGGGTGGGTTTTTGCCTTCCTCTAATGGGGGAAGTGGCCCTCTGTTTGGGATCTCTTGAACGTATATTAACACCCTTTGATAGAAACAGGATGTCAGCTGCTATAGTTCCCCTGTGACAGCTTTGGGTGTGATGTCTCTGCTGTGTCAGGGTTGATGGTCATTTTACTAAGAGGTTAGATGATGGGTTTGTCTGGGATGGTTTGGATAGGGATGATCCTGCCTCAGCAGGGGGTTGGACTAGGTGATCTATGGAGATCCCTTCCAGCCCTACTTCTCTGTGTAATATTCTCTCTCTTTCCCCCATCCCCTGCTTTAAAATTCAATGATCTTCAGTGTGGAGGCTTTATGAGCTCTTGCTGGGACCAGTCTTTCCTGCCCACGTGCAGAGGGGCTGGACCCAATGATCTGTAAGGTCCCTTCCAGCCCTTAATAACTATGAAACTATGAATGTCTGGCTCAGGTGGTGGTGTTTAGTGGTTAGGCCAGGGGTCAGGACCTGTGGGATTCATTCCCAGATCTTCTGCTAGCTTTCTATGTGAACACAGACCAGTTATGATACTGCCCTGTGCCCATCCAGCCCCATTCTTACCAGGGAGGGATGCTTTTTCCTGGTTTACCTGGGACAGCCAGGGGCTCTGTGTGCAAGAAGCAGGATCGCCTGGGACAGGCCTGTTCCTGGGGTGTGCACAGAGGGAGTTCACCGTGTTAGTTGGGCATCAGGCTGAGGGCATGGCAGGGTGGCACCTTAGACTAGCTGACCCAGAGAGGTGTGAGGCTTTCCATCTACTTCATCAGATGCGAGGTTTGGCCTGGCAGCCTGCACTCCCTTCTGCCTTGGCAATGTGAATCCTCGGCAAGAACACAACTTGCTGGTGTGAGGGCCGGAGAGCTGCTCCTGAGGTTTTCTTTGCGCTGAAACATTCAAGCCTCGCTGAGCCTAGCAGTCTGTTGGGAGAAGTGGGTAAGGCAGGCCAGCCAGTGGCCCACACAGGAGGGCATGTGACCAGCATCTTATTAGACTCCCCCATCCAAACAGCCAGGTGCCCATCTACCCCTGGGCCAGCTGGGGTGGCCCTTGGAGTGAGCCTCCGGTACCACAACAGAACATCTTGCTCACTCAGCTGTGATAGCTCCTGTCCTTGCCCTTGTACTGAGTGATATGTCCAAGGCACGTGATCATTGAGCTGAAACAAAAAAATGCCTCTGGAATAATCAGAGACAGCTGTGAGCTCCTCTCACTGGGTCTACAGAGGCCCTTTCTAAACAGGCTTGGCTGCTGGGTGGCATGCAGACTGCAGTCCATATATAGTGTTGGCATTTAAGGGAGAGCAAGTGTGCTAATGCTGCACAGCAGGAGTGAAATCTCTCAGCCTTGGCATTCATCATGATACTGGCAGAAGCATGCTGGAGTGGTCCCCTCCCAGCCTGAAGTTTGGGTGGTCTCAGTGGCCCACAGCAGGATGCTCATGAATATAGTGAGCAATTCATTGAACCTCAGGTGGGGGTACTTTGGCAGTCTGCGTGGGACACTCATGTCTTGCAAGCTTCTAGGATTCCTGCCCAAATATTTCAGCTTCACAAAGGTTTTGTGGGGGCAGTGATGCTGCTGTTGGCCTCCTAAACCTTGTTTGCTGCATGACTAGGTAACTCACTGGCCCTGTTTCCTTCTGCCTGTGTAGGAAGGAGCATTGGAAACTTCTGGGCAACTTGAAGACAACAGTGGAGGGTTTGGTGTCCACCAACAACCCGAATGTTTGGTCCAAGTATGGCGGCTTGGAGCGGCTGTGCAGAGACATGCATAGCATCCTCTTCCATGGGCTCATCCACGATAAGGTAAGGTGCTGTGTGTGCTGCTCTGTGGCATTGAAGCTCCGGTGGCTGCTCTCACAAGTGGCACCTTCTTGAGGGTGTTTGTTTCTCAGTAATACATGGCGGACTCTGTTCTTTTCCTAGTATTGGGGTAACCCACCAAGTGGGGGAGCATCTGTGTTTTCACTGGAACAGCTGGCAAAGGGTGATGGTGGTATAATAATAATAAATAATAATAATTATTATTATAATTAATATTGAGGTGGTTGGGGCTAAAGCTTTAATGAAGATTAGGATGTTTGTAGTTATATCTAAATTGGTAGGGGTGACCCTAAGTTTGCCCTCACACCCATATCTTCTGACCATCCATCCTGGTAGCAGTCCTGCCTGGCCTTGTGAGCTCTCCTGAGCTTCTGGGTCTCAAGTCTACCCCATCCCTCCTTTCCAGTGCGCTTTGAACTTACCTAAGCAAGCAGGGCTGGTACATAGGGAGTCAGCCAGCAGCAGTCCCACAATACCCTGTTTTTGACACAGCTTTCCTTCACACCACTTCCTCTCTACTGCCCAGGAAGAAAGACAAGTTTTTGGCAGACTGATTCCTAGAGGGACTACCATGTGCCCCAGCATCCCTTTGGAGTGCTGTGTTCAGGAAAGAAACACTGGGTAGATGGCTTTGGTTCAGGCACCAAGGTACAATATAGAAGAGAAGGGCAGTTGTGGTGCTTGAGGTTGCTCAAACTCAGCTCTAAATATCAGTGTACACCTACTCATTGTGGCTAGAACAAAGGAGGGAGGTCCCCGGGTCTGCCACTGATTTGTAGGTCCCTCCTTTGCGGGCCTCAGTTTTCCTCTTTGATAATACTGCCCTGCTCATCAGGGGATTGCATGGCTTTGTGTTGGTGAAATGCAGTGATCTCCTTGGATGGGGGAAAAGAATTGGGGTTAACGCAGGAAGCCAGTGAGGTAGGGAATGCTCTTGTCCTAGCAGCCCCATTGCAACCGGGAAAACTTGTGCTTTAGAGCTCTGTGAGGATTGACCCACTTGCCATTCACCTTCTCCCTCATATCATTTCATGCCACATTTAGCTAAGTATCAGTGACTTCTGGGGGAAACTGTCCCCACCCAGCCCCTTGTTCCCTCCTCCTGGATCCTGCAGTGACACCACAGTACTGCATCAGCTCAGTGATGGAGGGGCTTGGAGAAGTTCTTGGCTGGGGCTGGTGGGAGAAACCCCAGGCCTCAATTTTCTGGATTTTTAGAAGGTAATGGGGTCCAAGGCCCAAATCCAGGCTTTGTATGAACTCATTGTCTTTTTTTTCTTCCCACTAATTCTCCCTGTTATTGCCCATTCACACCCATTCTTCTTGCTGCTGAAAGCAGATCTCTTTTGCACCTCTGGAGATTTCTTGTTTGAGGATTTCTCCCCTTCTTCCAGCCGTAGGTCTTTACATTCCAGATCCAGTCCCTTTGGAGCCTGTTTCTTTAAAGCAGGGGTGTCAAAAATACCCATCCACAGGCTGGGTCTGGCCCTCAGGGCTGCAATTTTGGTGGTGAGATAAGCAGCAGCTGCTGAGGTTCTGGGAGTTGCAGCAATTAATGGTACTGCTGCTTGCCCCAGTTCCAAATTCCAGCCTGTGGGCCAGATGACATGGCTCTGGAGGCTGGATCCAGCCCGCTGGCTGCGTCTTTGATGCCCCTGTTTTAAAGAAACAGGCTTCAAAGGGATCCTTTTACTTACTACGTGACAGCAGTTTGGATAACCAAGCCCTGTCAACACAGGCTAGTGCTCCTTACCAAGGCTCTTTGCAGAGTTTAGACCTTGGACCTGCAAAGTGCAAATTTTGCCCCTCTCCTTTTTTCTATGCAGAGAAAGCTGTTCCTATCCATGTTTTAATTAGAAGTGTCAGGCCTTGACTCCGCTGCTGGAGGAGTGTGTGGAGGATTGGAGAACCGGCGTAATTGTGGCATCACAAATGACTGACTCTGCAGTTGTGGGAGGGGGTGCCCAACTCCTCACGACCTTATTCTCTATTAAGGCTTCATGCAGGCTCACAGCAAGTGCTTTTGGGTGAGGCTTTTCCTGGGAACAATTTAACATTGTCCCCATCTGCCATTTCTCCCCAGTAAAGAAATGTTTCTCCATAGACACATGAAAGAATTGGAGGGTTTGGGGTATCTCTGCCATTGAGTGGCTTTTATTTTATGTCATGAGAAGTATTGCTCCAGGTCTGGGGATTCCCAACCAAAGCCTCCCAAAACCAGGGGAGAAAAGAATTGATATTGAAGATATTTGAGTATGAAAATGTCTGAGTTAAGGAGAAGCTTCTTAGTCAATGCTGAGGTTGTGTTTGTACCTGTTACAGCAGCAGAAAAAGGTGCGAGTCTAGCATTGCCTGCCCAAGCAAAGACAAACCTTGTTGGACTGCCAGCTGTGCGGCAGGGCTACTGTGGCCCAAGAGCTACAGCCTGTGCTGCTTGTTTGCCAGGATGTTTCTGCTTTGCCCTCTGTCCCTCTCCAGTGCGATTCCTCTCCACACTGCTGTGTCAGTAGAAAACAAGGCTGTTGTCAGGAAGCGGAGAGGTGGCAATTAAGAGTTTGTGAGACTTTGAACTTGGCAAAGCTTCCAAAGCCATCGGAGGTGGCAACAGCACAAACCAACATGGGGTGCAAGGAGGAGGAGCTAGTCTGAAACCTCCCGTGCCTTCAGTTGTGAAAATATCAGGGGGGGGGTCTCTGCTGCTGAGAAATCAGACCTGCTAGCTCCATTCATTCCTAGCTTGGGATCCTGTAGGTATGTGGGAACCGCCAGCAACAGGTGCCCACACTGGTTAGTTCAGACCCCTGAGCCTCACCTGTGGAGCTGGTCTGGTGAACAAGAAATTGGCTGACAGTAGGCATAGCCATGGCACTTAGGGAGCATTATTTATTTGGGAACAGTTAAAGGGGAAGAGAGGTCTTGAATTTGCAGTGCAGCAGGACATGCAGCTGATGTGAGGCTTAATTCCCTGATGGTAATTAAAAGGCAGTATCTCATGAAGTGAACTTGGATTCATGAAAATACATGCTTTCTCTGTATAATCCATAAAGGTGCAACTTTGCCCTGCCTTCTGATTGAAAGGTGGGTCATCTACTGTTAGCCACAGTCCTGTTGTATGTGGATAGGATGATGTCCCTCTAAGACGCGGGTGTCCACTTGCATGCAGCCCTGGCTCCCAGCTCTGCAGGCAGTGTGAGGCTTGGAGCCTGCATGAAATACCTGGGCTGGGACAAGGGGTTGAGGCCTGTATTCCCATTTAGTCCTCTCTGCCCTGTGCCCCAGCCCTGCAGCTGAGAGGGAGCTAGGGAAGGGTACACATTCAGGAAAGATTTCCCTGGTTTGCCCCCACCCCTAGCCCACATCTTCCAGCCGTAGGCAGTGATGCCCTCCCCTGACGGGCTGAAATGTGGTCAAATCCATGCTCCTGGGCTGGAGAGACCTGTGGAGGGAGAGACCTTGGCACCATGTAGGCCACTGAGGCTTGCCCAGCACTAGCTGTGTGCCCCTTCCCCTGCCCTGCTGTGCTGGGCTCTGGCCTGCCAGGGCTTGGGCTGGGGTTTGTTTGCTTCATTTTCCTGGGGCTAAAGGTCAAGTGTTATCTAGCTCCTGGCTGAGTTTTCTCCCTGCATCTGGGCCTGCATTAATGGGCAGGCATTAACCTCTTTATTGCTGCATCTGTCCTCCACCTCATCTGTACACAGCTTCTCCTGCCCACTGAACCTCAGGTCGCTGTAGGTACGTCTGGCAGGCGCTGTGCTCCCAGCCTGCTGAGCTCCCGGTTGGGCCTTTGTGTGTAGGAGATCCCTTTGCAATAGCCTCTGCCTTGCTCATAGTCACTCCTTTTCTTTCCTCCTTGCAAAGCTTCTGGCTCATTTGCTTTTACTTCCCATTTATTTTTGTCTATCCATCCATCTGTATGCATGGAGATCTGCAGTTGCTCCCTCTGCCTGTCAGCCAGGGTGCTTGGTCCTTTGGCATGTGAGGGGGCATCCTCTGTTGCCCTCAGCCTGGCATAGGAGTCAGGGCTGTGTTGTCCCAGCCAGGCTGAGGCATAAAATCAGAAGCGTGCCGCCTGTCCGTTCACCCCAGCTGCTGCAGAAACCTGGAGGGGAAGTGTCCTTGAACAAGCTGCTCCCCACTTCCCCTGCAGCAGCAGCAGCTAGCTTGCAGAGGGGCCCTGGAGCAGGCTCCTGGGTAATGCAGCTCCCCTGCCCTCCTGCTCCTTTCCCAGTAGCTGGAGTGGTGTGGTGGCCCCGTGTGAGACTGCAGCCATGGAACGGCTCCAGGATCTCCGCACGGTCAGTATTGCAGCGTACCGTAAGCGGGGTCTAACAGCGCCTCTCCCGGCAGGTGTACTGCAGGCAGCAGGATTACTGGCAGTTTGTGAAGGATATCCGCTGGCTGAGCCCCAACTTTGCTCATCACGTGGAGGAGGTGAGGTGTAGAGGGCTGGAGGGCATGGCTGGCTGGGAGGCCTCAAAGCCATGGCTTTGCACAGGGGAGGGAGCGTGGGAGTGGCACGATGACCTCGGCCTGGCTGCCCTGCAGCGGGGGACCTGGCTTTCTCTGAGCATCCCTCTCTCCCAGCTTGGACAGACTCGGGACAGAAGAACGCAGCGCTCTGCTGCAAGCCCTTATCTTCTATAGCTCGTGTGGGGATTTGGCTGTGTGGGGTGTGTTTTCCTTACAGGCTGTGCCCTGGAAAAGATTGTGTGGTCAAACCCACCAGAGCAGAGGAGAGATGGGTCCAGGAGACATGAGTCGCTGGTCTCCAGTTCCTCGTGGCCATGCCCCCACGTGGACCCTCATGCCCATCACTGCTGCACCGGGTCCTTTTACCCTCCGCCTTTGCACTGTGCAGCCCTGAGGCAGAAGTAGGCAGTGAAAGTCAGAGGAGGGAGGGAGAGCCTAGAGACTTTGGCTGCTCTTGCAGGAGCCCAGGAACCACAACTTTACCACTTGTACCAGTTGGACAGTCCTGATTTGAGGGGCCATTCATAGAGTTGGAAGATGGACGGGACCTCATCCAGTTCAGACCCCTGCAGGGAGGCCATTTGTGCTGTTTCTAACGCATCTCACCCAGCCTTTGCTTGAAACCCTCCAGTGAAGGAGATGCCACCTTTCCCCTAAGCAGCTTCTTGGGTTGCCCTCCTGCTGTGGCGGGGAGGGCTTCTTTTTTGAGATTTAATCTATATCTCTCCGCTTTGCCGCTGTTTCGGTGTCTTGCCCTGTGTCCTGCTCTATGCCCCAAGGGAGAGCAGCTCTTCTTCCCCTTCTTGATACCTACCACTCTGCTGCTCTCTTTGAGGCCATGCTCATGACATGGCTAAAATGCAGAGCCCTTATGGAGGAAGGGCCTCGTGGAGAGTTCAGGGGAGCAGCAGGGCAGACCTTGGCACCAGCCTGGAGCTCCCAGGTGGAAGCAGGGCTGTTGTACAGGGCCTTGCTCTGTGGTCTGGAGCCCTGGTTCAGTCCCAAGTGTGTCAGGCAAGAAGCAGGCAGTTCACTCAAGCTCAGCTGGGATTCTGGCGACTGAGCAGGCCTGGCCCTGGTTTCCCTGGTCCCCTGGGTGCACACGGTGGGGTGATGCAGTGGAAGCATCCCAGCCTTGACAGGGTAAGCCGAGGACTTTGGCCTCCCAAGCAGGTTGCAGCCTGCTGGCCTTTGTGGCACAAGTCTCCACCGGTGCTGCTGCTTCCATTGTGAGCACGCCGGCTTGGCCAGCTGCTGCGCTCCACCAGAACCGAGCAGGGAGGCAGAGTGCTGCCAGACCAGGGCTGTGCTCCCCAGGCAGCGACTAGGCTTGGGGCATCTCTGGGGGCTGTTCTGGCCCTGGAAGAGGGATGGTGTTGGCATGCAGCTCTCGGGAGGCTGCGACTTCTACCTGCCCTGACTCACCCACGGCATCTGTTCCAGTTCATCAGCCTGCGTGAGGATGACCTGCAAAACGCCGACAGCCTCAGCGACCAGGCCCCAGCGAAGCGGTGGCTGCAGCGCAGCCTGCAGTTCCACTGCCTATCCGCCCAGTTGAAGCCTCTGCTGGGGAACAGGCAGTACATCAGGAAATTTTACACAGGTAACTCCCACCAGTTCCAGGCAGGCAGTTATCTTTCCTCCCCGGGGAGGGCTGGACCTGCCTTTCAGCCAGGATGGCTTGGGATGCCCGGGGGTGGGTCAGGGAAGGAGGTTTCACTGTGGCATTTGATTGAAAAATGCCGATACGACCAAACTAGTGCCCTCCTTTGGAAGTGGCCCAACTCTGACTTGAACATATGCAAAACCTTTCCATAAAGTTGTTTTGACCTCAAAAGCAGTGTTTTCGGTTCAAAATGCAAGTTAGAGTAAGAAACAGAAGGCCAAGATGGAAGCAGAAGCTTTGCTGGGCTCTGGGGAGTATTCTCCTTTTGATTTTTTTGCAGTACAGAAAACACATTAATTTGTGGTACAGGCTAGGAAATCTTGTAGTGTGAACCCACAGCTGCTGCAGGCCGGGGCCCCCCAAACAGGAACAAAGAGCTTTTGTTGTAAAACGAGAGTCTCGAAAGGGGAAATTGTGGCTTGGGTTTGGCTGCTGCGTGTGGAGCACAGCTGTCTCCAGGGCCCTTTGTCTGTTCAGTCCTTCTTGGCAGCCAAGGTCTGGAGCTGGGGCTCTCTGAAGTCCATGGGGTGTTTTCCATTGCCTTGTTTAGAGCATCCTGAGTTCTCTCTGATGAACCTAACATCCCCAGCTTTGCTTTTACTCCCTGTATGCAGAGGAGTCATTGTCTCTTGCTAGTAGGTCCTGGAGCAGCCCCGCTGCAGAGATCATAGAAAATGAGGGCTGGAAGGGACCTCAGGAGGTCACATCTAGTCCAACCCCTGCTCAAAGCAGGCCCAGCCCCAATTACATCATCCCAGCCAGGGCTTTGCCTACCCGGGTCTTCAAAACCTCCAAGGATGGAGACTGCACCACCTCTCTGGGTGACCTGTTCCAGTGTTTTACTACCCTCCTAGTGAGAGTTTTTCCTAATATCCAACCTCAACGTCCCTTGCTGCAACTTGAGCCCATTGCTCCTTCTGCCATCTGCCCCCACTGAGACAAGTCCAGCTCCCTCCTCTTTGCAGCCCCCCTGCAGGGAGGTGAAGGCTGCTATTCAATCCCCCTCGGTCTTCTCTTCCGCAGACTAAATCAGCCCAGTTCCCTCAGCCTCTCCTCACCAGTCCTGTCCCCACAGCCCTCCAACCATTTTTGTTGCTCTCGCTGGACTCTCCAACTTGTCCACATCCTTTCTGTAGCGGGGGGCCCAAAACAGGACTCCAGATGTGGTCTCACCGGTGCTGAATAGAGGGGAAGAATCACTTCCCTTCATCTGCTGGCAACGCTTCTACCAATGCAGCCCAGGATGCTGTTAGCTTTCTTGCAAACAAGGGCACACTGCTGGCTCCTATTCAGTTGACTGTCCACTGTAACTCCCAGGTCCTTTTCTGCAGAACTGCTGCCCAGCCTGTCCCGGTGCAGGGGATTGCTCCCTCCTAAGTGCAGGACTTAGTACTTGTCCTTGTTGAACCTCGTGAGATTCCTTTTGGGCCAATCCTCCAATTTGTCTCGGTCACTCTGAATCCTAGCCCTACTCTCCAGTGTATTTACTCCTCCCCCCAGGCCAGCTTGGTGTCACTTGCAAACTTGGTGAGGGTGCATCTATCCCATCTTCCAAATCGTTGATGAAGACATTGAACAAAACGAGCCCCAGGACTGACCCCTGGGGCACTCCGCTTGATAGCAGCTGCCAACTAGACATAGAGGCATTGACTACTACCTTCTGAGCCTGATGCTCCAGCCAATTTTCTATCCACATTACAGTCCATTTATCTTGCCTGTACTTCCTTAGCTCTCATGGGAGAACGTTGTGGGAGACCGTACCAAAAGCCTTGCTAAAATCAAGGTACGCCACGTCCACTGGTCTCCCTGCATCCCCAGAGCCAGTCACCTTGTCATAAAGATAATCAAGTTGGTTAGGCATGATTTGCCCTTGATGAATCCATGCTGATTGGTACTTCAGCCTTTTCTGCATCCTCTGTCGCAAGGTTGCCTCCCCCATTCAGTAAGGGACCCACGCTTTCCCTGATCTTCCTCTTGCTACCAACATACTTGTAGAAACCCTTCTTGTTACCCTTCGCATCCCTTGCTAGCTGCAACTCCAGTTGCGCTTTGGCCTTCTTGACTTCATCCCTGCATGCCTGAGCAGTGCTCTTATGCTCTTCTGTACTTGTCTGTCCAAGTTTTCACTTCTTATAAGCTTCTTTTTTGTGATTTAGTTTACTGAAGAGCTAAGCCAACCTGGTCTTCTGCCACACTTGCTAGTCTCCCTGCCCACCGGGATGGTTTGTTCCTGCACTCTCAGTAAGGCTTCTTTCAAGTACAGTCAGCTCTCCTAGACTCCTCTTCCCCTTGGACTGGCTACCCAGGGGATCCTGCCCATGAGTTCCCTGAGCGAGTCGAAGTCTGCTTTTCTGAAGTCCAGGGTCCTTACTCTGCTGCTCTCCATCCTTCCTTTCCTCAGGATCCTGAACTCTATCATCTCATGCTTGCTGCTGCCCTAGTTGCCATCCATTACTACACTCCCCGCCAGTTCTTCCCTGTTTGTGAGCAGCAGGTCAAGAAGAGCATGGCCCCTAGTTGGCTGCTCCAGCACTTGCACCAGGAAGTTGTCCCCTACATTCTCCGAAAGGGGTCCCAGCTCTCATGCTGGACATGTAGTGCTGTACCCAAGGGTAGGCCTTCTTTTCGGATCCCAGAGGATTCTGTGCAGAAGTGTGAAAACTGGGACCCCTTGTAAGCTTGGCTGCAGAGGGGCTTGGGCAGTAGTTCTCCGTGTTGAGATAGAGCAGGCGGTGACAGTCTGAGGACGGGCCAAGGGATTATCCCCATGTTCTAAAAATTGTGCCCGCTGCAAAGTCCTGTCCCCAGGGGTTGGTATGAGTGTCATGAGTCCCACTGGGCTGACCTCTCCTATTTCCCTGCAG